GGGTCCTGAAGTGTGCTGGCCTACCTTTGGGACTGTCATGTAGATGAGCAAGAGACCAACAGTTTAAATGCAAACTGTGGATGACAAACTAAAATTGAGGACAGCCTCTCCATTAAGGCATTTTCCCCTACAATGTGGGGGAAGAATAGCCTAAATACTATTACATAGTACCTGAAAATTAACAATCAAAGATCCTCATTTGAGATATACTAGATTATGCCAAGGCTATTGACATACACTAGTCAATAGAAGAAAAAGAAAGTTCTTCTCCCTCTGTTTTCGAAATTATTTTTAAATTTCGTTCCAACTAAGTACTTTAATTTGCATGAAAGAGGAAGTCATTCACAATATACAAAGCCAAGTTAAAGAAACAAAGCTACTTGGATAGTTGAGAATATCACACTTATGATGTTTTGGTATGCAGGAACAAAATGTTGGAACTCTACTTATTTAATCATGTTTTAAATTTATGTTATTGTTCCTATTGAATAAGGTACATAATATTAGTAACATGTTATGCTTATATAATCTGTAATAAACCTACATTATTGAGAGGTTCATATTAAAAAATGTTATACTGAAAATGGTACACTTACCACAGAATTCCACATTTACTGATTTAATAACATTTTTCTCAGTCTTCCCCCCAAAGTGTGCCAAAACCTAACTACTTGATTAAGTTTATGGACTGGTAATGTAATATTTTTTTTGAATTTATATTTCAGAGAAGGCTGTGTCTCCATGTATAAACAATTGTTTTTTTAAGAGACTCTTTTAGCAATCTTCGTTGATAAAGTATGCCAATAAACCTGGTTCTTACTGTATTCCATCTCATATATAAGAACTAAAAATTACTGTTTTATTTGATAGAGCAGAACAAAGAAAAACTACAAATGAGTACTTTGTAATGGCTATATGCACATTTTGTTTTGAACATATTTGTTTCTAAATAAATGTTGCTTAGTTGTTGGGTAGATTATTTAAGTCATTACTTACCTCCGAGGCACACTAATAGTGGAATTTAACTCAGTGTTTCCCAAACTATGTTTCCTCACTTGTCTGCATCAGATTTACCTAGTCTTTATGAAACATTGGGTGGGCACAAGATCATCTCTACTTGATCAGAATATGGGTGAAATCTAGGAATCTGTATCCATCTAAAAACACCTTAAGTGATTCTAATGAACATAAAAGTTTAAAAAATCAATGAGAATCTGAATCTTTACTTTGATTTAAAATGTCATTTTTTTTCAGGAGCAAAAACATACCACAAAATTATTGTACTCTTTATTCTCAGAATTTCCATACTTTTCCAAAGAAACTATTCTGAAAGGATATAGCACACCATACTGATTAATGCCATCTTGTTTTGATATCCAGTTATCAAGATTTATTGTAGTATTGGGTAAATATTGACCTCAACATTGGCCTATCATTTACCCATTAACTGTGTTCACCTTCTCCACCTCCACCGGAGAAATCTAATGTATCTTCACCTGTGGCCACACCGATTTAGCCATTTACCTGAAATGTGTTGGAGGAATTGAAAAGCGACAGTATTGATGAGGAGAAGAGTAGAAAAAAATTGATTTATGTAGGAAGATAAATGGCCAGGATTTTAAAAAATCAAATGCACTTGCTTTTTAGGGAAACATGCTTGAATCATAAAACTTGGATGCCCCCAAAACAGCTACAAAAAAATCTGAAAGTAGAAAGTGTGTCTTTATGATGGAAAGATAGTAATCTTTACAGTAGAGGCCAGTGAATCTTTATGAAATGAGTAAATCCATTTTCAAATGAGATGGTGTCTGTTATATTAGCAAATACAAGTTTCCTGGAGGCCTTTCTACAAGTAGAAACAGGGCAAAGAAAAAAAATGTTGGCGATGGATACTGTGTGCTTCTAGCAGAGTTCCCTTGGGAAATGCAGAAAATGGCTATGCATTTCAAGTAAATCTAAGCAGAATAGTAGGAGGCTTAGTGTTAAGGGGCTATGTGATCCTTACACAGGATTAATATTACACAGGGGCTGAGCAGGACAAGTGGAGTAGAAAGGAGTGGAGGCTGGAGTTGGGCAATATAAAATCCCCGTCCTCCCTTGCATATCCTCAGGTAAGCCACTCTCTTTAGAAAAAACATTCTTCTATTCTGAACAGACACAAACATTTCAGAGGGATGTGTTTTGCTTGATAGGATTTGGGAGAAAGGATTGGGGATTTTGTTTTGAATTTTCTCCGACACATATTTACTTTGACTTCTTCAAAATTAAAAATCAGCAAAGCAGCCTTGATTGTCTATAAACTCTCTTTTCAAAACGTGTGCTTCTGAAACCTGGGGCACCATTCGCAAAAGCATAACAAACAACGCCTTTCAAGGATGGAGTTTCTCTCTGCTTTGTGCAGTAATTTCCCAAGCTCCAGTTGTGGCAGTGTGATTTTTCCTAGTGGTTCTTGACAGGCATTTGGGAAGTCTGACTTCATGTCTGGGTAAAGCTGCCACACAAAAGATGTCAAGTGCATGTGACATGACAGTCACTGTGCGTAAGAAAAGGCTAGAATTGCTGTGTCCTATGGAAGTTTTTTAAGAAGTATGTTCATGGCTGTCAAACTCCGATGATGCCTAATTTCTACATAAGAGGATTTCTAATAAAATACAGCAGAAATGCACTTAGGCCACAAGGTAGTCACATTATCTGAAGATGTTTTTATTTGGCTAACAGGAAAGGAAAGTGTGGACCAATGTCTTTCACATGCCATTAAGAAGCTGAGAGGAGAGGTCTCCTTTCTACCACCAGGGGCCTTCTTCTCCTGTTTATTCATTGCTGTCTCAGCTAATCACTGTCACTGCTTTGAAAAGCAAAGGATGAGTTTTGACTTCATATAAAATGAGTTTAAAGCAGAAGGTCCATGTGGCCTCCAAACTCTGGATTACTGCCATGGCATGCTGCCTTTCACCTCCGATTTAAAGACAGGTGTCATGTGGCTTCCTAAAAATGAAAAACTTTTGCTTAATCCCCCAAAGCCTAAAACAAGCAGCCGTTAAAGAAGGAATAAACAGACTGGCACCGGAATACCAAGGAAGTAAAACTTGGGGACATGGGTTTGCCAATTACTTCTCTGTAACCCTGAGGAGCCAATGTGACAATACGTCTCCTTCACTCTTTATCTGACACATGATAAATATATGATTGTTGGGTGCTGCCATGAGTAAAAATCTTAAAAATGGCAACTTGGTGAAAATAATGGCAATAATAATAATATCATATGCTAACATTGAGAGATTAAAAACCAGGAACTGTGCTAAGTATCTTATATGTATTATTAAATCCTACCAAACAAGTGAAGTAGGAATTAATAATATCATTTTAAAGATAAATAAAATTAACTTACTAATTTAAGTCTCCCTTATTGGTGAGAGTTGGTATTAGAGGAAAAGTAGTAAATGGTCTGATTCTTTAGTTACATCTTTATCTGCACTTTAAAAAATAAAGGTGATGAGTAATTAATTTTCTTAAGTTAATCCTTTCATTCAATACATGTTTCAACATGTTCCTAAATAAAGGATTTCTCAAACAAGATCAAGAGACCTGAATGTTTTGACAATGAAACTGTTGCAGCCCTAACTAGCTCTTTCTGTGAAGCAGTTGGTGGTGACTCTGGGCAACCCATCTCCCAGCAGTCAGCCTCCTCTAGATGAAGGTTCAAAGCCCATTCAATGACATTAAGATGCTCCTTCCAGATTATAAATCACGTGGTCCTGGAAAGTAAGAATGGGGCTATTTGGAAAGGAATGGGGGTGGGACAAGGAGTGGGGCCATGAGGGGTGGGGCCATGAGGGGGTGGGACTACACTGCTTTCTTAAAAGAGTGTCCTCTTTTCCTGTCAGGTAACATGCAAGGCCTAACCTGCATTCTCCTCTTCGTAGAAACAGTGTTTTAGTTGATGTATTCCAGAGGCGACTTCACCATGTGAAAACTTGCCCTGCTCTTTCTGAAACCTAAATTAATGCCTACTCTTTCCCCAGAGCTCTGTTTTATGTACTCCAAAGTACTGAAGATTTGTAGGCCATCTGCCACAAGGGGAACTTGGCTTCCACCAAGATCCACTTTCTTTATTTTCCCATCCTGGGCCCCCCCGCCCCCGCTTCTGGCACCCAGCCATCCTAGAAAGGCAAACTTGTCACTGACTTCTCAGTTAAAAAGAAAGGCCTTCAAGTTAGGCTGTGAGGAGAAGGATGCCATAATGTTACCAGCTTAATTAAGCCATTACAGTTTTTAGGGGTTTTTAAATACAGGCAATTTGAATGTATAATTGAGCTTGAGCACATCCTATGTTTTCCTTGGGCTGCTCAGAACAAGATTGTAAGAGGAAAACAGCTGGGGTCACATCCTGTGACGATGGGGCCATTTTCTCAGTTTTGCTGTGGTCTCCATAGTAAATTTGTATAGTGGTTTATTTTCTTGGCTGGACCAGGAGTGAAGGGCTTGGACCCTTGGGGTGGCAGGTCCAGAGGTCAACCCCATCGACAGTACTTTCTTTGACTTCCAGCTGATCCCCAATATTCGCAGGAACAAAGTCCCACATTTTCTTCTCTAGAGAATACTACAGAGTATGCTTGAGAGGAATATTCTTTTTGAAAAAAATTATTCTAAACTTCAGGCCTGAGGTTAGGGAGAGGAAACTAAAACAGACTACAACTCTCAATGTTCCTCAAGTTGGGCTAGCAGAGAATAAGGTAAATTTGAATCTGCCTTTGGGGGAAGTACACATTTGGGAAAAGAACAAGAATCCCATTGCTTATGCTATGAACATAACAATTCACGAATTAGGAAATTGTACTAGTTGATAGCTGTTTATTACAATAGGGTATAATACTTCTTGTTTAGCAATATATTGGGTGGGTTAGTTTGCATCTCAGATAAACTAATCTCCAATGTCCCCTCATGTATGTACATTAACAAGTATACACGTACAATGAGATGCTAAAAGAAAGTTTGCTCTGCTGTCTTTAGCAACACATATGCTGGAATTGAAATGATACACAGAAGATTGGCACAGCCCTTGTACAAAGATGACATGTGAATTTGTGAAACGATCAAACATAAGATCTGAAACCATAAAACTCCTGAAGAAAACATAGGTGATAAGCTCCTTGACATCAGTCTTAGTGATGAGTTTTTGCTTTGATACCACACGCAACAGAAAAAAAGCAAAAATAACAAGTGGGACAACATCAAATTCCAAACTTCTGCCCAGCAAAGGAAACCATCAACAACATTAAAAGGTAATCTATGGAATGAGAGAAAATATTTGCAAAACACATATCTGATAAAGGGTTAATATTAACATATATAAAGAACTCAAACAACTCAATAACAAAAAAACAAACAAAAAACCTAATTTGAAAAATGGCCCAAGAATCTGAATAGCTATTTTTCCAAAGATGACATATTGAAGACCAACAGACATGAAATGCTGCTCATCACCAATCATGAAAAAAACACAAATCAAAACCACAATGAGATGTCATCTCACATTTGTGAGAATGGCTGTCATCAAAAGGACAAGCAATTAACAAGTGTGAGGAAGTGGAGAAAAAAGAATTCTGTGCAATGTAAATTGGTATAGCCACTGTGAAACACAGTATGGAGCTTCAACAAAAAATTAAAAATAGAGCTACCATATGATCCAGCAACACTGATTCTGAGTATATATTCTAAGTAAATAAAAACGCTAACTGGAAAAGACATATGCGCCTTTGTGTTCATTGCAGCTTTATTTACAATAGCCAAATGATGGAAACACCTAAGTGTCCATCGATCAATTAATAAAGTAGATATGTGTATATATATATGATTTATATATTTAGCCATTATATAAAAATATATTTATGTATGTTATGTTTTATATGTATTAAACAATGGATTATTCAGCATTCTATGTAAATATATATATTTATGTATATATGTTTTATATAGCTATAAAAAATAAGAAAATTCACAACAGCATAGGTGGTCCTTGAGGGCATTAGCCTAAGTAAAATAACCCATACAGAGAAAGATGGATACCATATAACCTCAATTATATGTGGACTCAAAATAAAACAAACAAAACCTGAACTTGCAGATACCGAGACTATATCAGGGAAGGGGCTAGAAAAAATGTGTAAAGGTTGTCAAAAGGTACAAACATCCAGTCATAAAATAAATGTCATAGGGATGGGTGTATTGTATAGCATGTCTATAGTTAATAATACTGTACTGCATATTTGAAAGTTGCAAAGAAAGTAGATCTCAAAAGTTTTTATGAGAAAACAGAACACTAACTATGAAGGATGATAGATATTAACTAGACTTATTATAGGATCATTTCACAATCTATACAAATATTAAATCATTATATTGTACTCCAGAAGCTAATACAATGTTACATGTCAAATATACCTTAATGAAAGTAAATAGGGAAAACTCATAGGAGCATTGCTGGGTATGTGCTCATGATATAACAGTCCTCAGTCCCGAATCCCAGAGGCACCATCTCAGCGGCTGGTGGTTGTATCTCCTCTCCTGGAAACTAGTTCAACCGAAGAGAGCGGGGTGATATCAGAGCCAAGGAAGCAGAGAAGTGATATGGGGGGAAGGAAATAGTGTGTAATGTGCCACAAAAGACAATATTAAGTATCAGTGATTTAAGAATACTTACAGATTTCCTCCAGTTCTAGTAATTCTTTACGTTGACACAATGTCAAATAGTTTGTATTGTCAGGTCATTTCAATAACCGATTGAAGCTGGCAATAAATCATATCTAATTTATCAGTGAAGAATATCTCAGAGAAAAGCATATATTTTTAGTTATTAGAACTAAAAGGAACTAAAAATTACGTATATATGGCAGAGACAGAGAGGGAGGGAGGGGACAAAGCGGGAGAGAAGTGAGGGAGAGGAAGGAGGAGGAAGAGAGAGAAGTGGGGGTGGGAGAGGGAGGAAGGAGGAGGAGAAAGAGAGAGGAGTAATAGAATTATAGAATTATGGCTTGCCTTCACAATCTATAGCCTCCCTGAAAATATTTCTATAAACCCCAATCCATGTGTCCACATCTGCCTCTTTCCTATTCAATGTTAACTCAATTGAATCCTACTTTATGCAAACTTGGTTATATGAAAAATTAGATTTGTTAAAGTGAAATAAAACATACACCATTAAGTGCATGTCAAACAGACTCTGTGGAAATTGTCTTTAGAGAATGAGTGTCTCCACTGAACTTAAATGCTTGGGTTAAAAGAAAAGGAAAATATTCTTGCAAGTAAACATCCTGCATTCTAGAAAGATGCCAGGACTGTGTCATTTTTGCAGCAGAGAAAGATACCCAGGGAAATATTCACTCTTGCTGAGGAGGTTGAGTTCTAAAGAAGTGTTCCCTGAACTATATTTGCATATGATAGGTAACTTTTGTTTAGGTTTCTTAAAGTTAGGCTTGATTTCCCCTCCCTTGTTCTGAGATACCAATTTTTGTTCTACATTTCACATACAATAGGACTTCATAGATTCTTGTTTTGAATCAACTATAATGAGAGAAACACTGAAAAGCAGAACCTATATAACAAAATGAAAGGAAGAAAATAATAGCTGATATTAATAATCAAATTAAAAAGGACATAGTCACTTCTGTGATACCCAGTCCCTCCATTGCCATCCTCAGGTTTTATCAACTCACATTTAGAGTCCTCTGATATTTTTCAGCTTCCTTGGCCCACATCGGGGTGGGGCGGGGTGGGGACCTGGGGTATGCCCAAACACACAGCCAGCTATCCAAACACCTTCAAAGTTCAGTAGCGTTCCTTTGAAAGGAGCTCATCAACTCCCACAATTCCTGGGACAAAGGCTAGAGTTGGTTTCTTACATGTTATAAACTTCTCCATGACTTAGAGCTGAATGTTATTGGTTCAATTACCCAGAGCAGTGGTCCTCAAACTTTAGCAAGCATCAGAAGCACCTGGAGAGCTTGTTAAAGCACAGATTGCTGGATGTCAATCAGAGAGTTGCTGATTAGAAAGGTCTAGACTAGGACCCGAGAATTTCACTTCTAATGGAGTCCCAGGTGATGGTGATGCTGCTGCTGCTGCTGCTGCTATGTAGGTATGGGGACTGTGCTTTGAAGACCCCTGGCCGAGAGGGCCAACTGCCCATGAAGAGTAGCTATCTAGAGATATCTGTATGAAAAAGTCCTCTGTATTTCTGGCCTCAGTGAGGATTTTAGTGGGTGTAATAGGAGGCACAGGCTACGAGCACAGGGTAAGAAGGTCGAGTGCCTTGATTTCTGTTCCATCTGTCCTCTGGATCTCAGGCTGAAAACTACAGGTATTCAAAGGTGCCCAGTGGGTTTTCAGGCTATTAAGCTTTTAAAGGATGAAGGTTGCCAGCTTGCAGTTTGAAGGCAAACAGCCAAAAACTTACGAGAGAAAAAAAGTAAAAGATATAGCCTGGAGGTGCTTGCCCAGAAGCTTCAAATCTATGTGATATAACCAGGTCATGACTTGAAGAGGAAGAAATTCTCCTTGTTAAAATGATCAGCTACATGTCCTAACATTTGGGGAGCAGGCCCCAGAGACAGGCAGTTCTCTTTTATCTCAATAGATTTGTGGATGGCTTCCCCTCATAGGGGTAGCCCCTTCATTCTGTGCAATTAAGAAAAATGGAATAGTTTAGAAACATCTGCACAAGGAGCTAGGATTGGAATGGATCACACTTGTCAGAGAGGAACTGCTGTTAGGCATATGTAATCATAGCTTGATTATCAAACTACTGTAAATAGAAATTTACAATGCATATTAAAGAGAAACCTATGGACAGGGTTAAAGGACACACAGAGTGCAGGTGTTACTAAAGAAAGCTTTGCTGTAACATTTTTATATGATACTGGAGTAATTCGGAAAAAGATACTTTCAGTGTGTAGTCTGTGGGAGACAGGCTTCAGTTCCTTATTCTTGTCCTCCTTTCTTTTTTCAATTGTACAGATACAACATGCATCCTTATCTATGCAAAGCAGCATACCAGATCTTTTGTTTGATACAAAAATAAATAAATCATATAAGCCTTTACTCTTAAGAGGTTATAGTGCCTGTCAAAGTATAAAGTGTAGTATAATGCCATCAACACGTGGAAATAGGTACACAAGGTATTATTTGGAGAATGGGATCATGCTTTATTCTGAGAGAGAGAGAGAGAGAGAGAGAGAGAGAGAAAATATGTAGAATATCTCCACAGGAGAGAGAGGACATCACCACAAGCAATGAGACTAGAACCATATGTGTTGGAGTCAATTAATGAATCATAGGTTTCCCTATTGACTCCATGATTACCGGGAGAATGAAGTAGGCCCAAGATTCAAAAATAGAAGAATTTAGATCCTCCTCCTTAAAATTAGTCTCCATAAACTTTGATTCACACAGGCACCCTAATCTCTTAGTCAACCTTTTCTGCCTACAAACTATTAGACTCTAATCTAGTCCCCTAATTCAGGTACTTGAGCTCTATTGATGCAGTTCACATTTTGATCATGCTATTCTTCCTTCCTGTTGATGCAGAATCTCTTTGTTGCTTTTATCCTCCTTTACAGGACATCTCCTTTGAAAGCCAAGCTATAGACTTTGTTCTCCCAGAAACAAAACTTTTATTCAATTGCTTGTTTATAAAAACTAAAATGTGCAATTTTAAATGTAAGCATTAGGGGACAACTGGAGTCCCTTTATATTTGGGATAATCTGGAATCCTGAAAAGACAATGATATAGCGTACAAGAAATCCCTCCAGCTCACTTTGTAACTGCGCGTTCAAGGAGCTGGGATTTGAAAAAATGTCAAATGCTTGGTGGCATTTGAGATAATTTAAAACAAGTAGGGGTGGGGATATGTGCATAAGCAAATAGACTTATGTGTAAAGTAGACTGGTGGTTTCTAGATGCTGAGAGTGTTGCAATATTTATCTATCCTTCCCTCATGGGCTACTCAAATGACCTGTAACTCAGTCTAAGTCCAAAACTTCTGTCCCTGCTGCTTGAGGCATTCACATTAGCTATTTGATCAGTTAATTCTGTTTTCAGGTCTCATT